TCCCAGAACTAGAGTGAGTGCTTAGTTCCAATGCTAAAGGGTTGTAAAGAATGCTTCTATGTTAACTTTAACCTATAACCAGAAGGGTTGGGGGCTTGCAGACAGGATTCATGAATAAATGGAGTTTTCATAATGGATGAAACTAAGGCACACTTTGCCATCTTTTCTAAGTATTTGTTTCAACATCTGTGGCACAGGTGCTTGAGCAAAATGGGATCTGGCCATAATCCAGGTGTCACCGTGTTGTATCATCCATTCATTTAAAAATCAAAATTTCAAATGGTAAAAAGAAAGACAGGAAGGAAGGAAGGAAGGAAGGAAGGAAGGAAGGAAGGAAGGAAGGAAGGGAGGGAGGGAAGGGAGGAAAGGGAGAGAGAGAAAGCAAGAAAGCAAGCTGTGACATGTAAAAAATACAAGTATCTGGATTGGTCCACACATACATGAACTTCCTTCTCATTCACTATTTAGGAGGCAGAGAAAACTTTCTATCCCGCAAGTTCAACCTCACATTTGCACAAGAAGCCTGGCTCTTTACCACCATCTGAGCTGCATCATTTGGAAGTGTCACACTCTTTGTCTGAGACAGAAAAGGCTCTGCCCCTCTTTTATATGTCTTTGCTTTTTGAATAGCTTTCATGCCCTTTTTTGACCCTGGACAGCAGAGCTGCTGAATTGTCCTTGCCTTTGTTCTTTTTTTTCCCAGTTCTCTCTGGCTGCTGCTCTATATCAAATCATATTGACTAGGCCTTTCCACAAGAGTTCCTGAAGTTCACACAATTCTTGGAATACATATAGGCCTAATTTCAAACACAGAAAAAAAGAAGGAAGTGGGGAGGGAAGGAAAAAAAAGGGAACTCGATACATCAAAACAAAAAACTTTTCTTTTTTTGTCTCTCAGATGCAGACGGTTAAGTCAATCACACTTCTTCCTTCAAGCAACATTATCACCAGTCCATTCAAAGTCACTGTTTTCAGTTATTTATTTTACCCCCTTCTCTCATTTCCTTTCAACTCGCCATAGGCAACCATCCTAATATGTGCTTAGGTGTTTTCCCTTAAAATGTCTAATGTTTAGTGTGCATGTATTTTAATTCTGCAAGTAGGATTTCGTATCATTACTTTCTTATTGCTCTCAGCACCATGATTCTAAGGTCCACACAGGCTGTTCTCTGTGCCTTTAGACTCCTGCTTCTAACTGCTGACCTGTTAGTTAGGTATGCACTGTCCCCACTACCATTCTCACACTCAGTAACGGACACTCGGTTTGCATCCACACCCCGCCCCCCCCCCCCCCACCATGCCACAGTGCCATGAAGAAAATCCCTACATAGGTTACCGTAAGTATCAGTGTCAGAATTTCTCTGGGGTGTATACAGGAATAGAACTGCAGGGTTATGGAGGCAGTTGTTCACATTGCTAAAAGTTTCTGGCCTCATAAAAGCACCCATCAGAGAAAGAAGCATCTTCAAAGGGAGTACATTCAAATGGTTATTGGCAACCACAGGCCACATGAACAAACGTTTAAATGCAGGAGACAGGCCTTTGAATGCTTAGAAACTGCTGCCAACTGAAGATGAATCAGGAATAAAGACATGACATCTACAAAATAAAAATATAAGTCAGTGGGAAAAACAGCTTTGGATTCATGGAACCACATTCTGCATCTCACTTCATGAGAACACATCTAGCGTCAAAAGCTCAGTACACCTGCGTCACCTCACCTGTCTCCCCATTCCCTGGCCCCCAGGCCCCTTCCTCCCCCCAGTCACATCCACACAGCTACCCACTGTTTGCTCAGTGGCTCCTTTCTGGTAGGAACTTTATTTTTACTCTCATCACTACTGCCTTTCCTGAGCTGCAGCGTCAACGTCAACTGCAAAATTTCATCTTGCACCAGGGCTGTTCTGTAGTCACTGGGGACGGTCAGTGCATGAGCTACAGCTTCTCTCACTTCTGTCCAGCCTTTGCTCCTCATCCCTCATCCCTACATCAATCAAAAGCTCAGGCAACCTCCCTGGTCAAATCTGATCCAAGTGCTCTCCTGGGAACCCACCATACTCCCTTTTGGATGGGGAGGCTGCCTGCTGAGAGGCTCCAGCTTCTGGCTTCCATTTGCATGAATAAACAGCTCTGAAGGGTTCGTTTTAAGCTTTTATGTAAACACTCTCCAAAATATGTTCTGCACTGCATTATCCCTAGCAATAAAGATTCTGGAATCAGAATTTGGCTGTCAGTTTTATTGATGTTGCATGGGGTACAGTAGAATACAGCTTTCTCTTCTGGAAATTTATTGACTTGGCAGGGCAGAGAGCAATAAAACTGTGTTTTTAATCAGTAAGCCAAGCGGACATGATTCCAGAAGAAATATAGGAAGCAAACATGCCATCGTAAGAAGATTTCTCCCCCCACTGTCCCTGTTCTTCTTGGATGCCCTGTTAAATAAGTTTGGGTATTGAACAATGTGCTTGGTGGGACTGTCTTCAAGAATAAAATCAGAGGACCCAGTTTGGATTACTTCCTCTAGGTTGCATCATCTCTAAGAGACTGTTGAGCAAAAGTCTTTTTCTGAAATGAAATTTCTTTGCATTAGCCCCTGGAGAGGAACTGTTGGTAAGCTGTTTTGCAGGAGAAATTGTGAGAGTGTGGCATTTCTCCTCTCAAGAGAAACAAGGTCACAATGCCTGTCCCTCCACCTTGCTCACTGAGAGAGAATAGATTACCTGGGTATATATCAGAAGGAAATAAAATCATGAACTCTACGAGATCTCTGTATCCCATGTTCAGTATTCATAATAGCCAAGATACGGAAACAACCTGAGGGTCCTTCAATGGATGAATGGTAAATACACACACACACACACACACACACACACACACACACAAAGGAATATTTTTCAGCCATAAAAAAGAAGGAAATCCTGCCATTTGTGACAGCATAGACCAACTTGGAGGGCATTATGCCAAGTGAAATAAGCCAGACAAAGACAAATACTGTATGATATCATTTATATGAAATCTAAAACAAAACAAACAAACAAACAAACCAAAAAAAGTCAATTTCCTAGAAACAAAGAAGATAATCATGGTTGCCAGGGGCTAGGGCGGGGGAAATGAAATATAAATCAAAGGGCACAAACTTTGGGGCACCAGGGTGGCTCAGTTGGTTAAGCATCTGACTACGGCTCAGGTCACGATCTCTCAGTCTGTAGGATTGAGCCCCGCATTGGGTTCTGTGCTGAGAGCTCAGAGCCTGGAGCCTGCTTCAGATTCTAGGTCTCACTCTCTCTCTCTCTGCCCTCACCTGCTTATACTCTCTCAATCTCTCCTCAAAAATAAATAAACATTAAAAAAATGTTTTTCTAAAAGGACACAAACTTTAAGTTATAAGACTATGATCTGATTATCTAATGTACAGCATGGTAACTATAGTTAACAATATGGTTTTATATATATGAAAGCTGCTGACAGTAGATTTTAAGTTTTTTCACCTCCTGCCCCCCAAAAAAGAAGAGTTAACTACGTGAGGTGACAGATACGTTATTTTGATCTCTGTAATGATTCCACAATGCATCTGTATATCAAATCATCACATTGTACACTTTCAATATATACAATTATATTTGTCAGTTATTCCTCAGTAAGTTGGGAGGTAGAAAGGGACTGGGTTAGGAATCACATACTTTGGCCCAATATCTCACCATAGAAAGAACATTTTGGGCTCAGTCTACTTGCTCGTGTTACATTGTTTGGGCTACTGAATGTCTTTGTGATCTAGTTCTTCTGCTATCGAAGGGAAATACCCAACTCATACCATTGTGTGCCTGTAAGGTTATAGGCAGGTGTGCACAGCTCATATAGCACCTTATACCATAGCAAGTCCCTTCCAAGACTGCAAGACAGCTCACTGATTAAATGCACTCATGATGCAGAAGATGTTCTTTCCTGGCAACTAAGACAGTGTGCTTCACAGACACGTGAAAAGCAAGGCAGCATCTCCCACCTCCACTCTCATACTCCTGACATTGACTTCCCATCTGAAATGTCCTGGTCCCCTCACCTCCTCTCTGCCAATGCTTGGGCCAAAACACTCAACCATTGTAAATGCTTGATAAATATCAGTTGAACATTCATTCCTGCTCTGCAGACACTTTCTTCTGAGCTATCTGAACATGGGGTTCCTTTAGCGCACATACATCATCCTGTTCTGCTTTTGCTATTGCTGAATAATTGCTCTTTTCTCAACTTTTAGGTAACATATAACTTTTGTCTCTATTCCAGAATGCTTAGATTGTTCCTCTGGATATAGGCAAGTGCCTGAAGGAAATGCTCTATAGATGTTCTCCCAAAATGGCATGAGATGCCCATGTGATTGAACCATAGCAGCCAACTGCTCTGGTTGGGAGGAAACTGAAATTGGCTACCTGGGGAAGATGGTATGGATCAAAATAGGAACATGTTCCTAGTGAATCTTTCCTTCTCCTGCCTGCCTGGTGTCCAATTGTATTTTCACCAGTAATTTCTTTACTTTACCCAAGGCAGTTTCGTTTCCATCTTCCCAACCAGGCCAATGGGGCCACCCTAGAACTATTTATCAACTATTTACTTGGTGTCAAGCCCTGTTCTTTACATGGCTTATCTTGATTAATTGTAACAACCTTGTGAAGCTGGAATTATTATTCCAATTTTATAGATGAAGAAACTGAAATAGAGGGCTTAAATAACATCCTCAGGATCACCTGTGGAGATATGAACTCCGGTGTATCTGATCCCAAAGGTGAGCATCTTAATACAAAATAAATTTCTTTGATAAAGACCAAGAGTGAGTCATGGCACATCTCTTTATTGATGTAAGTTAGAATTCTCCACCTGAAACCAGTGTCTGGAACTCTGTAGACACACACACACACACACACACACACACACACACACACACATTCATGAACTTGAAAGGTACCCAGTCTTAAATATTAAACTCTTAGCTTTCCTTTTTTCTTTTCTAGATCACTCACCTATCTCCCTATCAAACTAATCCCATCTCAAGCTTTCAGAGGACTTAATGAGGTGGTAAAAATGTAAGTAAGATACTACATACCAAAAGACATTCATAATTGGAATAATTAAAACTTTTGTAAGAGAAAACATAGTTGAAAGGGGATAATTCTTCTAGAAGAGAAATTGTGTTCAAGAAACCCCAGTATTTTTATCTTTATAATACAAATAATATCTAGGGACCTTTGAAGAAAAGTACGATTTCCAAGAGTCATTAAGTTCCAGATAATTAACCTTGCTTCAATGAACTGAATGCATTTTGATAAGTGATGATAAATTTCTCACATAGAAAAGAAAATAGATTCCAATCATAAAAATCCTCCTTCTGCTACAGCAGTTATTCCCTTGTGTCACATTTTTAGATAACACCCACACAGAAGAAAATGTGTTGGAGGTTTATTGTGCATCAGAAGACAATCTTTATACCTAAAATAGAAGATGTGTATGACAGACACACAGTATTTAGCTGTATTGATAAAAGGCCTTTATCAAAAGTATAAAGCAACCTGATAATATAGTGTGATTGCATATTTCTGTCAGATGTCAATTCAACCCATTCTCCCTGGCTCTCAGCTGCCAGGGCATAAGACACCATGCATGAGAGGGAACTTTCTCAGGAATCCAGTATTCCAGCATCCTCCTTAACGTTAGTCTGAGTGAAAGGACCTCAAAGGCCATTTAGTTCCTAAAGAGCATCTCTGATCTTAACAATTCACTGGGCTTTTGAAGCAGATTTACATCTGTAAAGCAGATGAAGATACGGCATCATCAATCCTAGCTCCTTGGGGAAACTTGGACTGCTCTTTAGGGTACCAATACGCAATGGGGATATTAAAAATAATTCCTCAACACATAGATGTCAGTCTCCTTGAGCCTAACCCTTATTCTTCTGCTCCCAAGTTTAAATGTTGAGCTTTGATAACTTAATGCATTAAGACCTCCTCATGAGAAAAGTAGCCACAGCTAAATAAACAAACCATTAGGTAGGAATGAAATGAATCCGTCCAGCAACAATCCATTACTGTGTTGCTCATAAAAGACATTAACTGCCTTAGGCTCAGCCTTTCTGTGGGCTAAAGCTCTCAAGTCTGAAGGCTTCAGTGAATGTTAACCTTAGAAACACTCAAATGTACAATTTGTGAATTTGAGACTTTTTTCTCAGCTGGTAGCAAATGGTAGCTTATGGTGGAATTTTAGGGTAACATTGATATTACCTGCATGCTTGAGATGGTATATGGCAAAGCTGGGCCCTTTATGTTCATGTCTTTAAAAAAAAAAAAGCCATCCATTAATCCATTCATTCATTGATACTCTACGTACCAGGCAATGTCAAGTTGCCACAGATTCAGAAGTGAACAAGACATACTCCTTGTCCTCAATTTGCTAAAAGAATGAGAAGAACAGCCAAAGAAATAGACACAACCTAAAAAGGACACTACGTGCGGAAGTTGACCACCTTGCAATTACCTCAGAGCAGGATTTTGGGAAAAGCGTAAAGAGTTATGAAACAATGAATGTAACCCAAATTAAAACCTCACTAGGATGATGGAATTGGGAATCCAGACATCCAGATCCCGGTCCTGAGCCTTCCCATAAGCACTATTTGCCTCTCCTCTAAGTCTCAATTTCCAAAGCTGTAACACAAGGGAATCTGACTAGATTTCCTCAAAAGACCTGTCCACTTCTAACAAACTGTGACTCTTGAGTCATAAGATAAACAAGAAAAAAACACCTGTCACATAAACAGGGGTTACTGAAACCCGCATTTCAACAGTACCTGGGTTACAGATGCCCATCAGTGCTTCTAAAGGGAGATGGCAGCACTTGATGATAGGAGGACAACTTAAGGCATCCCACTGGAGCCCCCAGTTGTTGGGTCACACCCATAGCTTATTATTATGCAGACATGGTCATTTCTTTCATGTTTCTTCCCTTTTTTTCTCTCCCCTAGTGAAATCTCTCAGAGTGATTCTCTGGAAAAGATAGAAGCTAATGCCTTTGACAACCTCCTCAATTTGTCTGAAATGTAAGCATCAGCTAACACGTAGTTTATTGCTGTACACTATTACCCTCGCTGGCTGGAGCCTACTCGGTATTTGTATTCAAGCATCCACTGCGAGGAATCCAAGAGGAAAAGACTGCAGCAATTACTAGGTCTGGGCAGGCACTAATTTCTCTCACTGCAGTGGCCTGAAGGTTGCCATGGTGACAACTGCTTCTCCCTGGGAGCTGTATAAACTCTGAAACATCAGAACACAAAGTTGGAAATTAAAATTGACATTGTGGAGTCCTGCCAAGTAGCTCTTACCTTATGGAAGGGAGGGTACGAAGTACTTGGGGTAGTGGGAGAATCTGAAAGGGAGCTTAGAGATCATGAATTAGTACATTGGGGACTGTTTGGACATCTTCATTTAATCACTAAATGATTCTTGGAAACCAACCATGTAAAAGCTCTGTGTGGGACATGTGTATGTGTTTGTTATTCTTACTGTGATGTGTTAGAATTGATTCTTAAAAAAAGTTCTTTCCAAATTATCATTTTCCTCCAATTTACAAAAAAAGATGGGTGAAGACTGGCTCAATTCAGTTTTCAGGTGATGAACCTACAACCCAAAGAGTTTAACTGACTTGTCTGATGTCACACAGCAAGTTAGTGCTAGAGCTAGGGCTAGAAATTGGTTCGTGTAACTCCTAAGCCAGGCTTCTTACTGCTGCCTTGTTTGGCTCAAACCTGAGCTTGTACAAACTTCACCTGCACAGGAGTTTTGAAAGTTAAGGGGAGGGGAAGGATGTTAGCAACAAACATTTTCTGTACACTTGTGCCTGGCATTTATTTCCTCAAGGTTGTATGAATCCTCACAGCTACCCTGCAAAGTAGGGTAATTATCCCTTTTGTTCAGGGGGAGGAATGGAGGTTCAGAGGGTCAGTAATTTGACCAGTGTGGCACTGTAGACAATGGCAGAGATGAGATTCCACCCCAGCCTCTCTTTCTCCAAAGCTTATGTATTTTCCACTACACTACAAGGCCTCCCTATGAATGGTCCAATTAGCAATTATCTGAAGAGAATAATTGATTGATAAGTATGTGAGTACCCGCCACATGTCCAACCAAGGGTCACATGCTGCTGGAATACAGAGGAGGTAAAATACAAATCTTCCCCAGGAGATGACATTATAGTCAGGGAGGTGAGCCTAACTCACCAACCAATTATGGGGAAATCTAAAATAGTGGGTATTCAAATGTAGATTTATAGTCTGGGCTTGGCTATGAAGTAGAATTGGGGGTTGGGGGAGGAGAGAGGAGGTCATTACCATTATAGATGACAGTCCTATCCCAGACCTCAAAATCTGTAGTTTTAACAGACTTCCCAAGTGATACAGAAGCACAGCTTATACTGTGAACCACCAGAACAGTTAAGATAAATAAATTGCTTGTGATGCAACAGAAAGAAAAATAAAATGCTCTAATGGAAAATTTATGGACTTTTCCCAGGGAAGGCCCTGAGACTAAGATGTTAGCTCCATACAGGCTCTTTTTGTTCACAGCTGTATCCCCAGTACCTAAAACAATGCCTGACACATGTAGGTGCTTAGTAAATGTTTGTTGAATGAGTGGTTTAAGGTCAGACCACCAAAAATCTTTAAGAGATAAAAGTTCCTTCCATCCTGCCCACATGGCCCATGACTGCTTGACTAAGTTGTTGTAAAAATAATTACAACAAAACATTACTCACCTCTAAAGAAATTGAATAGACATAACAGTTGGAAACAGGCACCAATGGTGGGTAACTATAGTAAGGGGTAATGAACACTAGTCTCAGAGTCAGAAAAACTGAGTTCACTTCCAAGTTGTACTACTTCTCAACTGTGTGACTAGATACAAATCATTCAACACCCTGATTTCACCAACTGTAATAATAACTGTTAACACTGGTTAACAATTACTGTTAACCAGTAATTGTGAACCACACACACACACACATTTACTCCTCAAAAACTACCCTATGAGGAAACCGAGCTTTAAATGATGTAACCAAGGTCATATAATCAGTAAAACCAAGATAAAACCAGGCTGACTCCAGAGCCCATCTACCTAACCAATACACTATATTTTCTCTATAGAATTAGAGCAATTATCATTTCTTTGAGTGGTCATTGCATGGGGAAAGAGAAACAAAGGCATTGACTAGCCTTTTATTTAATCCAAAGTAGACAGGCAACTGTGGCTACTTCTCAAAGGGTCAAAGTCACTGGAGAAGTAGGGAGAAGGGCAACCACACCACCGTGGAGTTATGGCTGTACTTACATACTGTACAAGGCCTAGCCTCATACATTATCTCTACCTATTCTATTACTCACTACGTAGCAACCTCTGAGGTAGGAAGAACGCATATTATTATTCTAGTTTTATGGAAGGGCACACTAGCTCAGGAAAGTTAGGAGGCTGGGTATCACTACACAACAAATTATTTATAGAAGGGGTATAAAATCCCCAAATCCAAGCCCCTGGATTGATCCAAAGACTGAATGCTCATCTGGATAACTGGCAGTGCACCTGACAGCCCAACACGAAGAGGACCAGTCTGCCTGTAAGGGAGAGTAGCCAATTTGCTCATCTGTCCTGGGAGTGGAATCTCCCATCACCCCCTAGTGGGTGGGCTCCACTGTAGGGCAGGACCTACTTGGCCAGGAGTCCTGGAAGTTGGTGCTGCTTCATAGAGTGGGGTGGAACAGACTGCCAGCTATGGTATTTACACCTGCCCCAGCAAGAGGATGAGAGCAGAGCTTCCTGGCAAGAACCATTTGGGTCCCACCATGCAGTTTCCATCCACAGGCTCTTAGGAGCTCCTTTCAAACCTATGAAAGTCACTTGATTTTTGTTGGTGCCGTTTTCAGCCAGCATCCTCTGGTGACCATGGTCTTGTGCATTCCAAACAATACACATCTGTTAAACTGCTGCCTCTCTCTTTACAGACTGATCCAGAACACCAAAAACCTGGTGTACATCGAGCCTGGAGCATTTAGAAATCTGCCCCGGTTAAAATACCTGTGAGGATTTCTCCTTTTTGAGAAACTGGGAGGGAAGTTGGGCATCTGATGAAAATCAAAACAATTAAAAGATTGGAAAGAATTTTTTTTAACTATATACTTAGCAGTATTTGCATGTCTGCTTTCAGCCTTCTGATTAAGATTTAATCAGCATTTCTTGTCAGCCACCAGGCTGGGTGCTTCCAAATCCATTTAACCGGCTCCTGACCTTTTCACTCTCCAAAAAACACACGAGAAGAATATCACCCCCTTTGCAATGGTTTTCAAAACTAACAGTGGGGTTGGGGGGTCATGACACTTTAGAGAAAAGGATAAATCAGAAACTCTAAGGTGAGGTGATGATGGAGACAGAGCTCAGATGAAATTGGAAAAGGCAATTCTAATTTGACACCCATCCCTAGTGAAGAATTATTGATTCCTTCACCTCATTTGTTCATTTATTCAATAAGTAAAAACTTTTTAAGTATTGCCTTGAAGTAGGCATTGTGCCGTGTAAATGAAATCATTATGTTCTATTTCTATTTCCCTTTAAATCTTATTAAGTCTACTAGTTACAATTATAAATTGAGTACCACTATAACCCAGCAGACTCACTGCCTTGCCAGCAAAATCAAAATTCCTGAAACTTGATACAATCTATAAATTGATCACTATGGATCTTCTCACATGCCAACCAATCACTTGTTCACACAGAAAAATTTAAAGCCCCCTAACATAGATGTTCTCTCACTCTTTTTCCTGATAAGTTAAATTTCATAAAATCTTCAGAAGATGGAAGTTCACAACCCCCACCACCGCAAAAAAAAAAAAAAAAAAAAATTGGAGAGGGAGGAAGGACATCTCTCTGGGTCTGTGTTCCATGCCATCTGTACAGTCTCGCCCTGGGGCCTCCTCCAGGGGCTGCTGCAGGCACTAGCATGGCTCCTTTGGCAGTTCAAACACTGGATGATTCCCAGCCCAGGTGTTCTGCTTTTCCAGGCCTCTGATGGTCTGCAGGAGACATAAGCATCTGCAGTATCAACCATGTTGGGAAAAACATAAGAAAATCCCAGAACCAAATTTGCCCACTATAGTCCCTTTTTTACCCCCCTGAAGAGTGATATTCCCCCAACCCCAGTACACATTGCTGTCTAAGCTGCACTGCCATCACTAGCCGTAAACAGGGCAAGGATTCAGTGCAGTCTGGAATTACAGATAAGAAGGAGAATCAGAAAGAACCAAAGAGAAACCTGGCTCCCTTTCTTCCATTGCCACCAGAGTGCCAGGCAGTTCATATCAGTTTCTTCAGTCTATGATGGGTGAATTTAAAACTTGTTTAGGGGAGGGGTGCCTGGGTGGCTCAGTCAATTAAGCATCCAAGTTTGAGCCCCGCAGCCCCCCCAAAAAAACTCAGGGGCAATCCAGATTCCTGGATTCCTCTAAAGAAGTCCCACTCTTGTGTAGTAAAATATCCTTCAGTTTAACCTATCACTGAACCCTCTCTCTTCTTTGAAGTTTAAACAAAAGGTAGGGGGAAGAAGAGTCTTGAGTAGCTCCAATAACCAAAAGAATGTTCAATGATTTCAATAAGTTATAAGAAAAAACTCCATGAACCAATAGGTAGCTAAATAAAAAACAAAGATTTTTAATAATGAGGGATATGGATCTCTCACATGGAGATTAATATTCCTAAAATCTTTGAGTTAAAACCTATTCAAAAGTAGAGGGATGCTTTCCAGAACTATCAAGAGCAAATTACCGAAAAGGAATGGAATGGAATACAATAGAAAAATGCAACTGATACAATAGGAAAAGACAGGCTGGAAACATAAATGTAAATGAAAAAGAAAATGTAAATGAAAAACATAAATGTAAAAGTATAGTCCCAGCCCCTAGATCTTTAAATAGGAGCCTTAGAGCAACTTCTCCCATAGTGTTAGGGGCTTTAAAATTCTGACAGCCTTCAACAGCTAAAAGTGCTACCAATAAAGTCAAACTCAATATTTTTTTAATTTAAAAATAGTCTTTGCAAAGTGCCTTTCTACTGCTTTTACCTTTATGCCTTAATAACAATCACTTTTATTCATTCTCTGCCCACATCCCCACCCTGCCCCCAATCACAGGAGCATCTGTAACACAGGCATCCAAGAGCTTCCAGATGTTACGAAGATCTTCTCCTCCGAATTTAATTTCATTCTGTAAGTACCAGGCTGATTGCTATGCATAGCAGTTTCCTATTTGAAGCTAAAATTTGGAAAGTAAATATTTCTCATTTTATTCCTCAAGGGAAATTTGTGATAACTTACACATAACCACCATACCAGGAAATGCTTTTCAAGGGATGAATAACGAATCCATAACACTGTGAGTAAACTCCCAGATTCACGTTCTGCCATACAGGCTCCTGCTATTCTCACTTCTAGCTTGAGGTAAGCTCTTTCTCATCTTTTACCACATTCCTCATTCACTGGTAAGTCTTTATGACCTAAAATGCTAAGAGTGAGAGTAGTTGCATGGGATTACAGCTGGGTCATGTGTTCACACAACAACCAACTGACCCATTCAGTTTAAAGTTAATGAGATGGACCCTGAGGACTTACAGTGACCAAATTTCCAACGGATGAAATTGTTCATTGCATCATTGGAATGCTCTAAAGCTGGGAAGAGACAGCCTGGAGGGAAATGGCTGCCCTCATGCAAAGAGCACAGAAATTTCAAGTTTCAAATGAGAAGAGCTTGGAAAGACATTCTCCAAGTAGGTAGAATAGTTGATCGAGAGAGCCTGCATTCACTCACTCACTCTCTCTCTCTTTCTCTCTCTCCAATGTTTTACTTTGCTTCTGAGGAGCACCATCTATACCCATTCCCTACATCCCTTAATACTTGAAAATAATGTCTTTTTATTTGACAATCACGCATCAGGTTACCAGGCTCACAGGCCCTATTCCTTTGATGCTCTTTCCTAAGGCATTGTTATTCAAAGTATGATTCATGGACCAGCAGCTACTGCATCTTCTAAGAGCCAATTAGACATGCAGACTCTCATGACTCAGAACTACAGACTTGGAATCTGCAAGTTCCCAAGTGATATGCATGCACATAAAGTTTAAACGGCACTGCACTAAGATAACCCAACTTATTATCTTCCACTGTTCATCTGCCTGACTTCCTTCCCTCTGGGATCCCTGCCATCTTCTCCTAGGGCACTCACCTTTGCCCCACCATTCAGAAGAAGAAATCTGGGCACCACATCTCCCTTATATCCAAAGCCCAGTGACCCATATTCAATTCTTCTCCCCACATCCATATCCCTCTCACTTTTTCTGCTTTGGTTACAGCCCAAAGCAGGGCTATACTGAGTCAATAAATGAGCTTGCCCTTAAAGAAAGAGCATGCATTGGATGACCCCAAAATGAGGAGGTAGTTGTGAAGCAAGAGAAAAAACATCTCAAAGGAGTCTCTTTTATATCATGGATTCTAAATATTGGTATCAATGTACATTGCATTTGTATAGAACTTTTTACTTTGTGTAGATATAATTCCACACATATAATTGTCATATTACAAAGCTGTAGCCAATGCAGCTCCAACTCAGAGTATTCAGAGTACTGCAATCAAAGAATACAGAGCAAAAACCAAAAAAAAATTTTTTTTTCAAGATAAATTCTTTATGTGCAGCCCTTGAATGCCAGGGAAGAGACAGGAGATAGGAAATCCTAGAAAATCTTCTCTATAGTCTTTCTGCTCCTCCACTTTCCTCACATACTACAGCTCTTACAGCTCTTTATAAAGTATTTCCAACTCACTGCTGAATGTATCAAGAAGTATTCATTTATCGTGTCCCCTGTGAGAGACCAACCAAAAACTGAGTGGGGAGTTACTACATGTCTCAGGATTTAGGGTCTTCCTATGTCTTTATTTAGAACACAAAAGATGTAAGATCCATGTCCCCAAGAAGCTCAGAATCTCAACTATGAGGAAAAGGAGAAAATATGGGGCAAATATGAAATAAGGAAAAAATAATACAAACTAGTAGATATTCACTGTGAGAGTTTGTATTACACAGAAATGAGAAGTCTTGGAGAAGTCCTCTTGGGCTGGAGAAATCAGAGACAGCTGCATGGTGAAGATGAGACTTGAGTTAGACCTCATAGTATCAGTAACAATTATATGGGTAAATGTGACAATAGCAGCTAATATTTATACAGCACTTAGTAAATGCCTGCACTGTTTTTAACTACTTTTTAAAAACTCATTTGGGGCGCCTGGGTGGCTCGGTTGGTTAAGCGTCCGACTTCGGCTCAGGTCATGATCTCACGGTCCGTGAGTTCGAGCCCCGCATCGGGCTCTGTGCTGACGGCTCAGAGCCTGGAGCCTGTTTCCGATTCTGTGTCTCCCTCTCTCTCTGCCCCTCCCCTGTTCATGCTCTGTCTCTCTCTGTCTCAAAAATAAATAAACATTAAAAAAAAATTAAAAAAAACCTCATTTACATCTCACAACAACCCTATGAGGTAGGGCTTTTAGGTGTGGAATCCAAGGCACTATGAGGTTAAGTGATTTGCCCAAGGTCAAGACTTAGACCCAGTCTGTCTTCAGAATCACAATCTTAACCATTATGTGGTCCCACATACCAAGAAAAGGGGAGCGAGTGGTCCCAGTGAGGGGATAGCATGAGCAAAAGCACGGCTGTGGAAAAAAGGAAAACAAGATGAGTCTTACTTATTGGGAATAAACGTCCAGCTAAAGAAACAGGAAATAGGTTTAGATAAATGGCAGGGGTGGAAGGGAAATTGGATTACTGAGTCTTGAAAGCTGGGATACAGGATTAAAAGCTAAGAAGTAACTCTGATAAAAGTAGTAAGAAGAAGAAACCACCCAACAGAGTAGCCTTTATTCAAACATCACAAATGTTCAAGACTCCCTTTGAGTTTGACCTAAATCTAAAAATAATCAGGAACCAATTGGCACTCCTTCCAAGTAAACATGCAGCCATTGGAATGAAGTGGAAATGGAATGAAAGGACAGAAGATGTGGAGAATGATCAACACGGAAACAAATGTTAGGATGATCCACAGGATTCTGTGAGCTCCTAGGATGGTACCACCCTACCAAACTCAAGGAACAACCAAAGATTCCTTTCACACATCACATTTCAGCATGTGCACATGAGAGCTGCACAGTATTTTTATTATGGGGCCATTAACTTATGTTAGTTATGATTTTAAGAAGAATAGTGCCTACCAGCAGGGCATAATTGCCCCACCTCTGAAGTTAATGAGGATTGCAGATCCACCTCTCCTAGGTGGCCCCAGGGGGAGGGAGCATTGTGCTTCCATTCCTTCCTCACTCTCAGCCCTTCATCTGGAAGGGGAGCAATTAGTCATTTGCTTGGCACTTGTTCTCAGCTGAATGGGCCCTTCTGTAAGTGAAGGATCCCGTGGAGCACCCTGCTGGAAAAAGGGTATTACACTTAAAGAGGAAAGCCTTATTTTCTCAGCTATAAAGTTCAACTCCCTAATTAGAAAATAATGAAAGCAGGCCTTATCTCTTCATTATTAGTAGTATTTGAAATTTTGCTTTTTGTGGAACCTTTCCTGCCCTCCCCCCACCTAAATCTTTACCAACTGCGAGCTCATTTAATGAAAACAGAACACTTCACTTGATGCTAGAGAAGCTCAGTGGGGCTAATGCTAAAACTATGCATTATACTCTTACGTCCCTTTATAGCCACTTTGGCTTTTCATTAAATCTCCTCAAGAGGCCACCTTGAAATGTACCCCCCCCCCCCCCCCGAGTGAGCAGGATTTGGCTGCATTGCACCACCTTTAAAATATTCTAGGTGACTGGTCATACCAGTCTCAAAAAAGAGACAACTTTGATTCATGTCTGAACTCTACAAAGAGAAGGAAAGGTCATGGCAACTAATTCCCTAAGGCCCTTCAGAAAAAGAATGCATGGCAAAGGATGACAAGATTCCAGGTTGCACCTGTCATAAGTCACACTCAAGAGGCTGCTGGGCATTAAGACAGAAAGCCTGGATTCTAGTCCCGGCTCTGTGTCTATGAACCTTAGTCAATTATACCACCCAGACATGCCTCTGTCTCTGTGTATCCAGTGGGATTATTAATACCTTTGGTGCAAATCCAATCGTGTCGTGTCAACTACACAGCATCGCCATGATTAAAAGCTAATATTCAGCAAGCCACTTGTTTTAGACCATCCTGTTTCATCTTTTTTTTTAATATTATTTATTTGAAAATTTTTAATGGAAAAACAGAGTCACTTTCCATTTGTCTTTCCAATGATACCCCTTTACATCTTACCTAGATTTACTACCAATTAACAGCTTGCCACGCCCACCCCATCTCTATGTATCTTAAGTATACACAACACATTTCCTTTTGGCCAAACCATCCAAAAGAAGTTTATAGATATTATGATGCTTCATACCTTAAACATTTCAGCATGTATCTCCCCAAAACAGGGACATTCTACATAACTACACCATTATACCTAAAAAAATGAACTTGAATTTAATGGCATCCTCCAACCCATACTCCACATTCCAATGAAAAAGTCCTTTATAGATTGTTTTTAAACTCAGACTCCAATCAAAGTTTATGCATTGCATTTTCACTATTATGTCTCTTTAGTCCTCCCCACCTCACCTCCACCCCAAGATCCGCTCCCCTGCCTTCCTCTGTTCTGTATGACACCAATTCCTTGAAGGAGCCCAGGCCAGTTATCTGGATTCATTTGACTGTATTGTCAGGATTAGATTCAGGTCAACTTTTCTGCAAGAACATTGCAAAGGGCATGCTGTATCTCTCCCAGTGCATCAAACCAGAAAGCATGTCGTGCCATGCTCCTTGGCCATTTGGTTAAAGTGGTGACTGCCAGACATCTTCATTGTAAGAGCACATGTTTCCCTTTGTCATTAATAATAAAGCATGGTGGGAGACTTTGAGTTGATGCCGCTAGCCTGTTGGCCAATAACCCTTCATCTGATGGTTTCAGCATCTGCTGATTATTCAGTTATGTAGGGTATTACAAAATGGAAGTTTTAAATCTCATCATTCTTCCACATTTATTACCAATGCTCTTCCATAAAAGAAGAATCCTCTCTCTCTCAATCTCGCTCTTTTTAAATATCACTATGGAAGTAGATTTTTCAAAAATTTTATTCAATATATTATAATCCATTATAATAATAATCCACATGAACTTGGCTGAGGGCAACTTGAGGGGGAACATAACAACTCCATGCTGCCAAAACACAGGAGGTATGCCCGCTTCAGAGAGAGGGTTCCCTTGCCATTGGGAATGTGAGACCCACAGAAGTGGGGGAATTCTGATGAACATTCAAAACCAGGGTCATGGCAGCATATAGAGATTGGCCTGATGACAGTGACTGGTGACAGTTATCCATACAACCACTGCCAGGACATCCACTAAAGAAGTGTCTCCATATACTTCATACACAAGAATTATTCATACATAAAAGGACTGCAGAAAAATACCACAGGGAGAAGAAAGAGGTGAATTTAGGATCCCTGTTCTTTAGGTAGGTATTTGTATAGTCATTTGATAAAAATTTGCTTATAGATGTACCACCATAGGGCACATTTTCTAAAATAGAAACCCTGAGGCCACTTTTTGAGACCCTGCAGATCTGCAAACATAAATTAAGCTTTCTTCTTTAAAATCATCCAAAAACTAGGTGGTTATATGATCTAAAAGGGAACTATGGAAGACTATCTAATACTGTTAAAACGCCAAAAAATGCTTTTAGAGCCCCAGGAATATTAGGAGTTTGTTTTAAGGCAGCATTCACAATTAGAGTATCATCTGTGATTAAGTTCTAAAGCCTGAATCTTATTTTGAATAAAAAGGTGACATTCTCTCTTTTTGAGTCACAATTACTGACATTTGAATAGAGAACACAGACAATGCTTTAAAGTAAGGTGCAGCTATTGTCATACAGGAGAGGGGGAGAAACCATTTCCGTGCCTGTGACTGCATCCCCAAGGCAAGGGAAGCTGTCCTCATTTAATTCTGACACCATGAAGTCTTGGGAAAAAAGTTATCTGAAGTGACTCTCCAGCTGTTTTAAGGGGCATTTTAAAGCATTGTGCAGGCCTGACAGCATGAGGCCTCCCACTCGCATTTGTAACTTCTCCAAAGTAAGGAAGCCACTCTTTTAATCAAAACAAGGCAACACATTCTATTGTGCGCGACTGCTAAGAACAAAGCTGAAGAGCAACAACTAAAAAGGAAACGGTGAGCTCCATTCTCTGGGAAGTCGGGACAAGTAGGACCCAAGCTATTAAAAAAGACATGAAAAAATGTCCCAATACAAAAATGTCATTGATGCCAACACAGACCAAAGGTGTCGGCGGACCTTTGGAGAGTGAGTACATGTGGGACAGCCCCGGCCACTAAAATGACCTCCTCCACCAGGAGCAGGAACACCTCTACCCCATTGAACAGTTCAATTAAACAGACTGCTGCATTTCACAGAAATCCTGTCCAGAGCAGGACAAGGGAAACCCCTGCCCTCTATTCTGGTCAGAGAGATGAAGGCTACTACAAGATATAATAATAATAATAATTAATAATAATAATGGCAACACATTAAGCATTTACTGTGTTCCAGGACTTCTTTCAAAGTGTTTAACATATGTTACGCATTTTAATCCACACAACAGTCTTTTGGGGTCAATACTATTATTATCACCCCTATTTTCAGATTTGGAAATTAAGACACAGAGAGGTGAGATGATTGAATAAAGTAACTCAGCTAATAAGTAGTGGAGCTGGGATTCAAGCCCAGGCAGTTGGGTTGAATACTTGCAACCTTAACCATGAAGCTTCACTTAGAACAATGGCATTGTAAGCCCCACCAAAAAAAAAAAAAAAAAAAAAAAAAAAAAAAGTACAAAATTCTAATATATATCAAAACTAGGATAAGAACAGCACATAAAAATGACAGAGAATGGGTATCCAGACAACTGCTGGCAGCTTTGCTTTGCTCAAAACAGAGTAGGGGCTACTTTTTTTTAAATTCACTATACATGTAACTCCATCACTTAGAAGGTAGAGACAGTGGTAAGGGGACCAGACTCTGGACTCAGTTCTGTCCAGCAGACCATCTGATCTGTATATGGAAATGGTGAGAGCTATATCATCCAATGCTGTAACCTAGGGCAAAGGCCCCAAAGTGGGATGCCCAAGGCTCACTGGGAGAGCTTGCTATAAAAGTGCAAATTCCTGGATACCACCACCAGATTCTGATTCCACAGATCTGCAGTGCACCTGGTCAGTAGGTCTGAGTCTGCATTTCTGGCAAGCAGCTCCGGTTGATTCTGAGTCAGGAGATGAAGGGAAATGCTTTGGCAAACATTGGCTTGGACTCCAAGAAATCCAATTTCAAAGAAGTTCTGAGAAAAGAACAATATGATTCCTTTATCTACAAGAGATTGCTATAAAGGAATTCAAACTCCCAAATGATAAAGGACTGCCAAAGAATAATATTCTAAATGTAAAATAAAAAAAAAAAAAAGAATTCCAGTGGGATTGAGCTGCTAAGGAGGCAAGAAGATTGTAACTGCACAAGGCAACAGGCATAAACCAAGAAAGTACCTAGCCCCTCCAATTCTATCATATACATGAGGAAAGAAAACTACTGAAAAAAAATGGCAGCCAGTAATCCTGGCTGAGAGCTCATATGTGAAGTTGCAAATTCAGAATTCTAGAAGAAAGCACATGAGAGCAGGAGAAGCCAGAGAAGGCTCTTCCTCACATGGAAGGGTGAGGCCACTGCTCCACCCAACCTTTTGACTAAGCTTCTGCTAGGGAGCAAGCATTATGAGACACCCGGGGGTTTTACAAAATGAATTAAATACACTTCCCCTGTTCGATCTGAACTAAAATTAATAAGGAGACCTTATGAATTATTCTGTAATCTCTGTATTTTCTGAATTCCAGTGTTCAAACATCATGCTTCAACCCTGAGTCCTGCTTATTTATATGCTGGTTTGTCTCAGATGTGCTGTGGATTGATGGAAAGAGACCCCCACCCCCAAATATACACCACACACACACACACCCCACAAGACAGAATTCCTTCCATGTTTGTTTTCTTTAACAAAGGCTAGAGAAACCTTGCAGTCAACAGCCATGTGGAACAGGGTTTCTCAAGTCACACCCACCAGCCCACCCATGACATGGCCATGCAACTACCAGCAACCCCTTAAAGGGAAGCTAGGGTCTTGCCAGATGCTGGAGTTTAATTTGATGTTATACTATATAGCTCTTTCTCACTTGAGTATTACATCATTGTGCATGAAGGACTTACATAAATATTTCTAAGACTGTGCCTTTCAAACTTGCCCGGTTGGCTATGATTAGAAAATCACCTTACATACACCCATTTGTTCATCCAGTTCATTTAACATATACTTATTGTAATCCTCCCAAGTGCCAGGCACTACTCTAGATACAGGGGATTCTGCAAGGAACAGAACAGTTTCAAATCCTTGTGCTCATGAAGCTAACTGCTGGGGAAGGTAGATGATAAACAAGTATGTTATAATCCAGGGTCAGATGCTGATAAAGCCACAGAGGAAAAACAACTCAACAAAGGGGGATGGGAATGCAGGAATGCTGGGAGAAGGGAGGATTGTAGTTTAAATGGGCAGCCAGGAAGGGCCACACACGAACATGGTATTTAAGCATAGCCCCCCAGGAAGAGGAAGAGGGGCCGTTTGGATATCTCAGGGTAGAAAAGTAGTAGCAAGCAGTGAAACTGACATGCTGGAAGTAGCCCCAGGCACCGTGTGCTCTGGTCCCATTTCTGCCTCTTGTGGGCTTTAGACAAGCCATTTTCCTTTCCGAGACTCTTCCCTTCTTTATAAAATAAAAGCGTGCCACTTGATCCTCTCCAAGTTTGTTGCAGGCTCCAACATTTCCCGACATCTGTCTTCTGAGGAGCCTCTTGTGTCTTACTCTGAACAGATGTAGATGTTTCTATGTATATGTGTACGTATACTTTTAAGTATGTAACATACAAAAATGGTGGAACAAAATTCCGTAAGTAGTACTACCCTAATTACATGCAACACACTCCAGTATCTTCCATTTTGTCCCATTCTGTTCTATCTCATTTTTGCGAAATGCCGACTGCACCCGACTAAATTGATTTCGCTATCCACTAATTCGTCTTAAAGAACTGTTTACAGGCACGGAAATCTTCTTGGTTATGGAGCCAAATATGGCAGCAACCAAAACACATACTCATCCAAGAAAAGGAAAAGCTAACTCCATGCCAGAGCCTTCCTCTGCCGTCCGCTTTCAGCCTCCCAGAAAGCACACATGCCCACACAGGCCTGAGGAGGCAGAGGCAAGACTTGAGCATTGGACGGTTCTGGCCACTATTTCTGCTTCCGCCGCTGCTTTCTTTAAGCTTGAGCAGACAGCACGACGACAGTGAGACATCGCTTTCTCATCAGTAAAATGGAAATGGCAATGAGGATTAAGTCATAAAATCGATGTCGAATAGCTGGTCAAGTATCTGGCACTTAATAAACACGTAATAAATTGGTGTTGCTGCTGCCAAACTAGAGTGGTGGAGGTGAAGCCAAACTAGAGCAAGAAGAAAAAAAGAGAAAAACCCAGCTCCCTCTCACCAGGTCCTCAGAATCTAAAACGTTAGACAGAGGTGAATGTTGCATACGCCAGTAATTATCTTAGTAGTAAATGTCACAGAAGGAAGAATGTGTGATTCCAAAATGTGCTGCTTTCACTGCTAAATCCTCTCTCCTCTCCCTTCAGCAAACTATATGGAAATGGGTTTGAAGAAATACAAAGTCATGCCTTCAACGGGACGACGCTGATTTCCCTGTAAGTATGTGCTATTTCCCCAGCTCATGAATAAAAATGAAATATTACTCTGGCTACCAGATCACATTCAATCTTCAGCAACTAACTCAGGACAAAAATAAACTTTCAAGTGGCTAGTCCTCAGTGTTTCATGCATGTTACTAGGCAACTGGCTGGCTAGAAACCCCAGAGCACCCTGATTTCAAAGACAGATGCAGCCCGGAGACATTCAAGTTGACAGTTTGCTAAAATATTCAACACCCTACTTTTAGTTTCATCTCACAGCCTCCCTCTCTAGCCCCTTCGCTCAGGTTGATGGCATGTTAGAGTCAGCGCGATTTCAGTGAAGAAATTCTTCCCCCAGCCCCCCTGCAGAGAAAACTGGCAATCCCATTTACCCAACCTAATCAGCCACAACAAGCACCCTCACAGTCCCATCCCCCTACTGCTGGGGTGGGGCGGGTATGGGGAGCATTTTCCACAGGGTGAGGGGCCCTTGTGCTACACCACATTGCACCCAGTCCCCAGCGTTAACAGCATTTAACTCAAGGAGAGCATCCCTACTAACTATCCTTCATTGTTTCCCACCTCTCTTTCCTTCTATGGCTTCTTTACTAAAAGAGTGGCTCATTTACAAAGCCTACTGGGGCTGGGGCCATTTGAACCCTAACAGGCAGGAGTAAGGTAACAATCACCCTACAGTTGGATATAATAAAAACTAAGCAAACTATTGAAAACTTGAGCCCGAAAAGCTCAACTGAAGCCAAAATTAAGGAAAACAAATGAAAAGACTTTTATGATACATTGTATCAACCGTAGTCTATACCAGTGCTTCTCATACTTTAACACACACAAGAATAAGGTGGAGATTGTTAAAACACAGATTCCTAGGCCCCACCTCCGGAGACTTTGCTTCATTGCCGCTAGGGTAGAGCTTGAGAATTTGTAATTTGAGCAAGCTTCCAGGAGATGCTGAGGCTGCCAAGTTGGGTAACATAAGTCTTTACAACATACTATTTATTTTAACTATACATATTAATTAAATGCTCTAGTATATTGGTACCATGCTACAGAGCTTGGTGGTTATGAGAACATATCTAAGAGTCACTAACTGGGTCTTAAACTCCAATGCCAGTATTTATCAGCTTGATCACGAGCAAGTTACTTAACCTATCCCAGCCACAGTGTTCTCATCCATGAAATAGAGCTATTATTAGGCTTATTTTGAGGATATCCCCACCAAAATGAAAAGGTCTGTTTTGTATCCTCAGTACTTAACACAGTGCCTAGCACAGAGTGGGTGCTCATTTATCATTTATTACATTGCACAGCTAATTAATTACAAATGAATGAATGAAGGAAAAATAATTATATTTTTATGGTCTTAGCCTGAGTCTGGCACGTACCAAGTGCTCAAGAAATGATAGCTTCCTATCATGGAGAAAAATTTCCCTCATTTTCTTGTTGACTTGAATCTAATGAAGAGTTCACTCTAGCCAATTGAATCTGTTTCTGCCAAATTTAAATCAGAGGCATATCCTCTCCTGGCACAGTACTTTCAGATGCCTCATGCAGTTATTCACTCAACAAGGGTTTGCCAAGCATCAGCTATGTTTGAAGGAATATGCTACATTTGGGGTGGAAATGAAAATGAGTAAGGCCTGGTGTTTGCCCCACAGGAGCTTACGGCCTAGGAAGAAGCATTGCCAGATGGTATATAAACTGTATACTAAGTAGTAACTAAAACAGAAGGCAAAGTGTGATGCCTCCCCTGAGAGAAGTAAAGTCTTCTGGGATTTCAAAGGCAGAAAAGAAGGAAATTAGAGAAAGCCTCCTGAGAGATGTAGACTCTGAGCTGGGCCTCAGTTGGACAGGTAAAGACAGAAGGAAAATGCATCCCAAGCAGAGGACAACAAAGAGAATGGCCCAGAGGGGGAAGCATGTGTTCACAGAACAGCAAACAGTACCTTTTAGAAAGAACTAGATGTGGGTTAGGGACAAAGCAGGAAGGGCCTTAGATGCCACAGTAAAGGATTAGGACTCTCTTTTATAGAAAATGAGAGGCCGTTGAAAGTTCTGGGATGGGAATGAAGTATGAGGGTGCTTAAAGAAGGTTCATCTGTTGGCAGAAAGGACAGTGGTTGGGGTGGGGGTTGTACAGGCTAGAGACAGATATCGGCTATCTGAATAGAGGGGGTAACTGAAGGCCTTTGTGGCTGAGGTCACCTGGATGAGGGGGCAGAGTAAGAGAACTGAATATAAAATTGGGGGACACCAAGAGAGAAGGAAGAGAAGCAGAGCAAAAGCAAACAGAGTGGGAGGAAAACCAGCAGAAAACATCCTTGGGAGGTCAGAGAAAACAGGGTGTCAGTCAAGAGGGCCTTCATCAGCAGTGTCCCAGCTGCATCAGGGAAGCCAAAATGGGATGTGTACCTCAAAAAGTTCAACTAGTCAAGATTCTGTATCCCCCACATCTTACTGTTGCAAGAAAGAGGAAACCAAGAACACAAATCAGTTTGCCAAGAAAACAAATCAATTTCATTCATTTATTCATTCAACAAACATTAAGCATCGCCAGTATATATTAGGCACCACGTTAGGGAGCTGGGTCTGCAATGGCAGAGTGGAAAGAGTCCTTGTCCTCATGAAGCTTCTGTTCTAGCAGAAGAGACAGACAAAAAGGCAAGTAAATAAATGAACTTACTGCAGATAGGAATATATACTATGAAGGAAATAACCCATTACTGAGATCTATGAGAGTACAGGGGCTGTCTGGCTTTAGGTTAGGTGTCCAGGGATAGCCTGGCCATGGATGTAGGCTATCCCTGGGCCATGAAACGTAGGCTGAACCCAGAAGATGACAAAGAGTGCACTATGGTAATAGTGAGGGGAAGCGTGTCATGGGAAGGGGGAACAGGATGTGCAAAGGTCCTGAAGTGGCAAAGAAAAGTAGTTGTCAGCTCCAGGAATTAAGAGGAGGCCAGTGTGGCTGGAGGGTCATCAACAATGGGAAACCAGTATGAGACAAACCTAGAGATAGAGAGCGAGCAAACCATGCAGAACTCAGGGGCAATGGAAAAGATTCTAAATTCTCTTCTAAGGGCAAGGAGGTCCCCTGAAGGATTGAAGGGGGGAGTAGGTTTCAAAACTGTCAAGCAAAATTTTCAAAGTGTACCTTCAACCCAGTTTCTACACCTTCCTCACAAATGGGCCTGTCCAAAGTTGTTCAGAATGATGACACCAAAGCCCTACAAAGTTCTTGAATTTTCTACCTAACTAAGTTAGAACAGGGTGGAGAGACACAGCACCAGAGGGTTGCCCTCAGACACCTCCAGGGTTCTGAGAGTCACCCCTTGTCATTCTCAGAGCACCCCACTTGTGAAAATTTTGGGTGGGGCTCGGGGGTTCTCCCACTGTGCTTCAAGAGGTTATCCTGTGTGTGCTTCTCATACCTGGAAGGCTGTGTCACTTGAGAACCTGAAAGTGACCCCTAGGAAAACATGGTAGACGAATCTGATTTGTTTTTTAACCGAGTTACATACTGCGGAGTTATCAGTACACAGAAAGATCTTTTAATAAAACACGTGAAAAGTTCTGTCATGAAATTTGAGCAATTAATTTGACCTGGCTGACATGACGATTATTTGCTCACAGAGCCCCATTTCGATGATTTATGGCCATAACAGAACATAATTAAAACAAACCAAATCAGGGAAAAGAGCATGGAGGTTTGGGAAGGAAATTTTCTTTTGATTTAGATCTTAAACAGCAATTGACTCTGACAACCTCATCTCTTTGAAAGTAGAAATACACCCAGGGGATAGGACTGTGTGAGACTGACGGGTGCATTCTGATGGAAGGGCTGAGGATTTCTGAGGAGAACGCTTAGTAGAAGCATGTGGAAAACAGCCACCCAGGGAGTGAGATGCAGGGGGGGTTGCAGTTTTTAAATGGCAGGCGTGATGTGGAGACATGCAGGAAGACAATGAAGAAGATGGAGAGCTAGGAGATGAACCAGGTAATTGCCTATGCCTCCTGCAAGGGAGGGGAGAGTGAGTGTTGGTCTATTTGTTTTGCCATGTAACACTGTAACAGTGATGCAGGAGAATCCTGCTATGCTTCAAATCATCACATCGACAATGGATGCATTTTCCAGAATGCCCTGAGTCACCACTCTTCTGTTGTAGAAAGAAAGTGCTCAAAAGAAGGCTGGCAAGCCTGAGCCCAGGGACCCCGCTCCCAGCTCCCTCGTCCACCCCGAGAGGGGCCTGGGCTTGGAGACACCAGCATGAGGGCCCAGAGCAGGCTGTTCAGCAGCACCAAGCTGAGCTATTCCTGAACAGTTCACCCTGAGCTGCTTGGAGCTCAAGGAACAGAAGCCTCGGGTAGCTACTGCGTAGCAGCGTCTGGTCGTGCCACAGCCTTAACAGCAGTGGTCCTCAACACACACACCTGAGGACTATCATGTACCCAACACGGAACCCCGAGTGGGGCATGCTGGGTGTAGGGCAATTTTCTGCACAGGCTGTCCTTCCTCCCCTTTCCTACCCAGTGAGAATGCATATCTGAAAAGGGTAACTTTGGACCCTACTTTTTCTTTTCAAGTAAGTATTTGCAAACTTCAGCATATTGCTATTAACCAGCTCTGAGGCCTCCAAGGTCAGGGCAGCTGAGCACCTGATACAGAGCAGGCTGCGCCTCCACCCTTCAGCCTTGAACACTGGAGCAGCACTTCCATCCCCGCCCAGCTGTGCGGTAGCAAACCTTCTTGACTCCAGAACAGGAAAGGGTGAGGACTTGAAGCTGCAGGACAAAGCATTCTACTGAGTGAGGGGGAATCTGCAGGGGAAAGGTGGGCCCAGACACACACGCGGGCAGTTTTACAATAAGCCTGGCACCAGCGTGTCTTTTCCCCTTCTTCTACAATCTCCCTTTTCCCTCTACGGCTGAGCACCGCACAGGCAGGCTGCTCCAAACGTGTGCACACGCAGCGGTGACTGTTAACCCACGAAGTGCCAACCCCACTAAGAACACTGTCCTTCCCCCACAGGGAGCTCAAGGAAAACACACACCTGGAGAAGATGCACAATGGAGCCTTCTGGGGGGCCACGGGGCCTAGCATCTTGTGAGTACAGTGGTGCTGCCTCCCCTCCCCACCCAGGGGTCCAGCCACACTGTCCCCAGCCCAGTTTGTGGACAGTCAGCCTCTGCATGGGAAAGGGCTGCCGTTAACCAAGAACACTAACTGGGGGCACTGAAATGACAGAAATCGATGGTCTCTGTTCTAGAGGCTCAGAGTCTGAAATCAGGGTGTCGGCAGGCTCGTTCCTTCTGAGGGCTGTGAAGACAGGATCTATTCCAGGCCTCTCTCCTTGCTGCTGGTCCTTCCTTCTGGTTGTGACAACGTAACTCCAGCCTTAACGAGGCACTCTCTGTGTGTATCTACCTGCCTGTCTCTGAATTTCCCTCCTATTATAAGGACACCAGTCATCCTGGATCAGGGCCCATCCCAATGACCTCATTTTAACACGATTACCTCCGTGAAGATTTCATTTCCAAATAAGGTCACATTCTGAAATACTGGGGCATTAGGACTTCCACGTGAATTTGGGGGAGACACAATTCAGTGTGTAATACCAAGTATGGAGGTCCACCTCATGTGCTAGCACAGGGAAGGCTGCCCACCTGGCATCCACTCGTGGGCATCCAAGGCCAGAGATCAGACTTTCCCGTGGCACTTGTCCAAACAGAGCTGAGCTACTGTGCATCAGGCTCCCTGAGGAGGCAAACAACAGAACCAAGTTTCCTCAACTCTTGGTAGTTTTGTGTGAGGACATGCGAGAACGTGTAAAGGAACAGGAAACTGAATCAAGAGTCTCCTGACAAAGCCTTGGAAATCCTGAATATCCCATAGGAAACGACTGTAGCTGTAGTCAGACTTCGAGGAAAAAGACAACAGGGTTCCAGAGGCTCTGCAGCTCTAACGTGGGGTGACCTCATCTTTCCTCCACAGAGGTGCCAGGCCCTTTACTGCCTACTCTAGTATGCTGTTACTCATTCACTCAACAAACACTGATTGAACACATCCCGTTTACCAGGCAGCATGCCAGAGAGACTGGTGAGCATAATAGCTCTGGTCCCTGCCTTTAAAGAGATTAGAGTCACCGAGGGGAGACAGCAATAAATAGACAAACAAGCGGGTGATTTTGAAATTAGGAAAGTGCTAGAAGGAGAGTGAACAGTGTAATCCAGTTCATTTGCTTGCTTATTCATTCAGTCATTCATCCATTCATTAACCCCATAATGATTTTGTAAGTCCCTACTGTGTGCTAGGTACTGGATTAGGCAGAGAGAGAGAAACAGAGCATAAGAAAAAGATGTCTGCCTTCCTTCACAGAATGGGGGAAGACAGACGAGGATCAAATAAGTAAATAAAATATGTAGTATGCAGATGTAGGCGCTGGTTGTGAGGGAGAAAAATTCAGTTGGCTGAAGGAGGAGTTCTAGGGAGAGAGAGTTACCATTTTAAAAAGGATGGTCAGGGAAGACTAACCTGAAAAGTGTCATTTAAGCAAACACCTGAAATAAGTGAGGGAGCAAATTATGTAGGTATTGACAGGAGGGGCATTCTAGGTAGAGGGAAGGGCAAAGCAAAGGCCCAGAGGCAGGAACTTGCCTTGTGTAATGGAAGAAAAGAAAGGGGGCCAGTGTGGCAGAGCAAGCAAAGAGGAGAGTTCTAGAACATAAGGACAGAGAGGTGGCAGACAGCTGGGTCCTGAAGGGCCTTATGACCATTATAAGGACTTCACCTGTGTTCTGAGATGACATGAGGCTTTACAGTTTTGATCAGGGGAAGGAATGAACCAACCCAGTAATTCTTAATCCTGGAGCTCCTACCAGTATCAACTCATGATTTTGTCTACTTTCCAACTCCCACCATTATTAATCCCAACTCTATTTCTAGGTTCTTGCCCCCATCAACTCCTAAATACTTCTTAACCCTTATTTGCTACTAACTCTTGACTCTGCTTCCTACCCTGCCACTGTCAACCTCTGTGCTACTTCCTAACCCCCACTACTGTCAACCCCAGACAGCATCCAGTTCCTAGCCCACAGCACTGTCAACCCCTGACTTCACCTAATCCCCAGCTCCTGCCAGTATCCATTCTGACTCTACTTCTTAATTCCTGCAACCATCAACCCTTGACTCTGTTTACTTCCTAATTCCTGCCACAAAAACTCCAGACCTTCTCAATTTCCTAACTTCCATCACTCTCAATCCTCACTCTCTCTCTACTCAACCTCATATTTTTGCTTCCACTACCTCATGGCTCATGCCAAGTGTTTTCTCTGCTGTGTCTCAGCTTCTGCCACCCTGCCGCACAGGTCCTGTATGTCTCATGTTCAAAGTACACCAGACGCATAATCGTACAGGTTGGTTGAAGACTTTGCAGTCTAGCGCACCCTGTAGGCAGAGCTCTTAGAGCAAGCTGGCTACCAACCCAGCCACTAGATAGCCAAAGAGAGTTGCCTCTGGGTCAGACACAGTATATGATGAAGTTAGTGTGGTCATAAGACACCCTGCCTGCTAGTCTTTGCCTGAAGAGCTGCTTCATCCACCTGCTTAGAAATAACTGCGAGTACTGGAGACACCGGCCCTGTCTTGGCCAGAACAGTTGGACCAGACCTAGTCTTATTTCATTAAGCAGCTGTTCTCATTACACCCTTAGAATGTAAGTGGTGTCTAGGAGAGTTCCTTCCACCCACAACCCAAAAATACTTCCCCACTGGTCTTCTACTGAGACTGAAAATATATTATCAGAAATTTTACTCCTCCATGATAAGACCTTGCCTTTTCTACTATCCTAATTTAAAATATATATCCCCCTCAAAAAAAAATAAAAAACCATCAGACACGCACAAGTTGTGTGCTGTATCCCTAACACATTCAGGATAACTCTATAAAGCAGGATGAGAACACTGGTTACCTAAATCAACGAGTACACAAAAGCAGCAGTAATCTGAAGCCCCTGAGGTAAATTCTGCTGTCTTAACTGTTCCACCAAAGGCCCACACTAGCCATCGCTCCATGTTGTCAAGTTCATCTATCAGTCATCTATTGATCCCCTCCCATGTGCTGGGCACTAAGCATTGGGACAATTTTCTGAGGGGGACTGTGCTGCTGGAAAAGTTTCATGGGGGCATCAGCAGCAACCACTTAGGAGATGGGCAGGATTTCAAAATTTCCAAAGACTCTTCTTCCTCTTCACATTTACCTTGTTCTCAGACATTCTCTCAAGTCTAGAAAAGCCAAAAAGTTTGGGACCTTGTTTACAAAACCTAAGCTTTCCACACAGTTCTGCTTGCCCGGCCAAGTGCTTGCTTGCTTGCTTTGGACTGGTGAATCCAGTTTGCCTTTAGAGAAGGTGCAGTCTGCATCCCAGGCAGATGACAGCTAAGGCCATAAGCAGCTCCTAGCAGTATAAGCAATCTGTGCTTCATGAAAACCTACCCTGTGGGGCTTGAACAAAGACGGAGGCATCTGAAGCCCTGAGTATTTCCCCCTGGGATACAGCACAAAAGCTGATGTCACTGCATGTGTCTACTGTCTCACAAAGCAAGTAGTTATTTCATGCCTGCTAAGTGGAGAGAGGTGGGGGAGAAATGCTAATGAATGTATGACAGGTGTAAGGAGTTACACTCAACCTTGAAAGGAATAATGGAGTGCATATGAGGAAAAAAACACAGCATAGATTTTGAATTTTTATCTTAATGAGAGTAACTGAATGGAGAATTAGGGGGAAGGCAAGATGGAGAAAAGATTCCTCAGAACCTAGAACAGTACTATTGCTGAGAGGAGGTTTCATCCTATACAGTAAACAAAAAGGCTTGCTCCTTTCTATTTTTCAGGGATATTTCATCCACCAAATTGCAAGCCCTGCCTAGCTATGGGCTGGAGTCCATCCATACACTCATTGCCACATCATCCTATTCTCTAAAAAAACTGCCATCAAGGGAAAAATTCACCAACCTCCTGGATGCCACACTGACTTACCCCAGCCACTGCTGTGCTTTTAGAAACTTGCCAACAAAAGAGTAAGTAAAAAAAGAAAAAAAAAAAAGGTAGTGCCTGCCAACCTGTGGCAGAAACAAATTTCAAAACAGTCAACTGGTTGACAGCTTCCTGCCCCTTCACTCCCTGCTCTAGATCAGCTCCAAAGCCATGGGGTCACTTTCAGAGACACAAGAAGAAAATGAGCCATCCTGTTTCTTCCAGAAAACTGATTCCAGTCAATTCACCCTGCAGCTACAAGACCTTTGTAGCCTATTCCAGGATAACTGAATCATAATAACCTTAAATTAGGCTATAATTGCAGTTGCAAAATGGAGTATGAAACTGACATCTTAAAGATCAATTAGCTCTAATCCTTATCAGAGAGCATCATTTTTAAAGAAGGAGGGAAGTAGGCTCAAGAGAGTAAATTTTACCTAATGTCTAAATGCTTAATAATAAAAAAAAATGGACACAAAACTCTACAGAGGCTTTTTTTTTTTAATTTTATTTTTTTTTTCAACGTTTATTTATTTTTGGGACAGAGAGAGACAGAGCATGAACGGGCGAGGGGCAGAGAAAGAGGGAGACACAGAATCGGAAACAGGCTCCAGGCTCTGAGCCATCAGCCCAGAGCCCGACGCGGGGCTTGAACTCACAGACCGTGAGATCGTGACCTGGTTGAAGTCGGACGCTTAACCGACTGCGCCACCCAGGCGCCCCAACAGAGGCTTTTTTAAAGCTATTTCTCTCCCAGCAAGAAGACCATCTTTCATTTCAGAACAGAATTCTTGCTCTCTAAGGATTAGCTCAGTGCCTGAACAAAAAGGGCACAAGCTCCTGGATGATTTGAGTCCAGTGGGGGGCATCTTACTGATTCCACTGATACATTTCAATCCAGAATGGAATGACAGGGTGTGTAGGATTTCATTCTTTTCTTAAAGATTGTTTTCCAGAATTTTTTTTTTTTTTTACTAAGATGCATAATAAGAAATACCTCTTTTTACGCTGCAAACCAGTACATGTCACATAGGTAACAAATAAAACAATACTTAACTTTTTTACATGTGTGATACACACAGATTTTTCTTATCTATTTTACTCTACTTTATTTCATGTTTGTTTGTGTTTTTAATGCTAGTCTTGTGCACTTTATTGTTTATACGACCCACCAATGGGTCACAACTCACTGTTGGGAAAACATCTGCCCTAAAGTGTTATTACACAGCCTAAGAAGATATTCTCAATTAATTAGATGAGGCACTGGAAGAGTGACACTAGGATGCTGCTGTTTTTGTGTGGAATCAACCTATTTATAATGAATCAACCAACAACATATTACTGTACATCTACTTTGTGCCTTGCAGAGGTATGTGAAGCTAGATCTGAAGCTTTTGATGTAACCAAGAAGACAAAGTACTCGGAGGGCCATGCATCATTAACTGAGCTTCAAAAAAATATTAATTGAGCACTTATCTAGTTCCAGACATTGTGCAAAAGTCTGAAGATACAAAAATAACTAAGAGCTCATTCCACCCGGGAAAATCACAAACAGCTGTGTGGTGGTAACACACAAGAGAGCCGATGTTTAAGTACAATATAGCAAATGTAATGGTAGAGCTGAGAACATAACAGAATACTCTGGGAGCACAAAGGAAGAGTTTCTAAACAGCAACAGAACTTACAGAAGACTTCCTGAGGAAATGACTTCCAATGAGTTTTGGAGAAGGGCTAAGAGGTGGCTAGGCAGGCGTGGGTAAAACCATGCTGAGAAGACAAGATAGCTCATGTGAAAGCACAAAGGCAAGAGACAAAGGATGGAAATCCCTCAGAAAAACTGGAACAAGATGACTTATGGGTACATGGAGGACACAGAGAGAGACAGTTGTGATGGGCTCTGAGTGCTGGGCCAGGTTGTTCAGAGGATGGGGAACCACTGACGAATTCAAAGCAAAATTACTCAGATTTGCTTTTGTCAAATAACACTCCAGCAGCTCTAGAGGATGGCTTGGAGGTGAGCAAAGCTGGTGAGAGACTGATTAGGAGAACCATACAGACCCTGGTTTATGATAAGGCTGATTCTGGACACCTCAAATTTTGTGGCAAAGAGGGCACATCCCTTCTGAAATTACTGGCATATAAAAAAGCTAGTTCAGGGGCTTTTTATTCTAGTACATGAAAGAGACTACCTCTGGGTAAAAAAGGTGGGGGGAGGATTATTCAGTTGTAGGCCAGTATCAAAGTGAGATAGGAATACAGTCACACAGAGGTTGTCTTGATTGGGATTACAAGCTTTAAGTGACTCCCTCTATATCCCTAAAGCTCGAAACCTTGGATGCTAGGGAGATGGGACAGCCTGAAGCTGGGCCAGTGGAATGTTTATGTAAACTCTAAGTCACCCCCCTGCCCTGCAGCTGCTGAGCCTGGATAACACACACAGCTGCCTGGGCAGATGGTCCCAAAGACCTCCTTGGTATCTATGATTAAAATTTTTAAAAAGAGTAGATGGAACTCAGTGCTATGAACTGAAGGCTAAGAACAAACACATTTCCTGTTAACTATAGATTGGTTCACACACAGTATCTCTAGGTATCAGATACAGAGCCAGCATCAACACACACACACACACACACACACACACACACACACACACACACACA